TCTGCATTAATTCAATTCTCATCACATCACACATTGAGATACCAGAACCAGAATATGGGAGGAAGTGATGTCAGTGAAAATAAATTTTCCTCATAAAATCAGTGTTTAATAGATGTGGGTCCTAATGAGCTCAGACCAGCCCCTCTGACTCAGTAACAGGCAGAAGGCTGGATTTGTGCCCTGAAGTCCTACTCACCTCCTTGTTTTTGAAATTATATTCATTCCCCCGTGCAGGCCCAGCTGCTGTTGTGCTGCCTGGGACTCTGCTGTGTAACTACAAATGTTTAGAACACTTCGCATCAAAGACTGTTACCTCAGATAAGGGAACTGCTTCCTGTACCCAGGAAGGAATACGTGCACTGATGTCCAAACAATGCAACCCTCTTAGAGCCTTTACAGGTACCATCAGAATCTTACACACACACCAGAATCTAGCAGTCATACATCTGGGACAAAATTTCTCACGGTGACAGTATTCAGACTTCCCATTCACAGCTTCTGTTTTACACTGACCTCCTGGCAACAATAGTACCATTCAGTATGTTTTCCATCTTCCATGCAGACCCTCACGTAGCAATTAGCTATTACACTAATGGAAACAACAGAACACGGTTTGGAATAATCCTTTGTGAGATTACACATGTAAGGCTACTAAGTAGACCATTTTATTGTCCTAAGGCTTCCTTCCTTGTAAGAGGATTTTATTGATGATGTTGTAAAATTATCCGACTATTTCCACTTAATTGCTATGAAATATCCCATATCTATTCCAAGTCTTAAACCTCAACCATGATACACTGCAGAATACTGAGAATATGCTTGCTGTTACCCTCCTCACTACAACAGCTGACACGCAATACAGCATCCACCTTCATTTAGTTATGTACCTACATATGTACACACAGTTATATATAAGCTATATATACTCATGCTGGAGGAGACACAAAGATGTAAATACATTACACAGAAAAATCGTAAGATGTGGTTTCTGTTGTACCTCAGAAGTTATAATTTGATCCAGAGTTGAACCAGATCCTGAGAAAAGATCCTCCTCTTGCTCAGGTCACCTTCTAGTAGCTACACAGTGCTTCAAGACTAGGTTTGCCAATTATACCCTTGATCCAGAATTGTTTAGATATCCTGGTACTGTTTCAGCAAGAGCCTTGAACGTAAGGACTGACACTAACTTGATTTAGTATTTTATGAGAACCTAACATAGGGGCAGAAGGTAGTTATGCTGCTGATGTTGAGACTTTCTATGCTAGGCTGGACTCTTTTATGATCTGGGCTTCATGCCTATATAAATTGTGTGCTTGAAGCCCAGCTATGAGACAATGAACTGAGGCAAAGTCATTAATCACCTTGATGAGGTATGGATGTCAAAATGGATGGCAGAAAGCATAACTCACAACTGCTGTTATGGAAGACCTTGTGTCAAGGAGGTAGCCAGCAGCAACTCCCAGGCTCTTTGCTAAATAAACCAGTTGTCCAGTACATCTTCAACCAGATGAAACTACAGAAGGCTACTCACCAGAATGTTTCCCCCAGATTAAAAGAAACCCTTCCTACCTTTTCTGAGGACACCTTTCAGGACTGAACTTGGTAAAGCCTGCTGTCTTTATCAGCTACATTCCTAATCCTAGTTAACTGTTGTTCTCCAGGAGGATTTCTCATCCAAGTATGAAGCTTCTCTGGTGACCTTCTCCCTTCATTACCACCCAGAATAAGGTACTTACATAGAGTACTAGTAGCTACCATTTGATTACTAAATCAAGAATCTATTAAATCAGTTTTAAGTAATTCAGCTTAAGGACCACACTACTGGCAGATTAACTCTTCATCCTGTGTTAAGACTACCTCCAGTGACCACTGCTATCTTGAAACACAAAGGTTTACAATCTTTAATTAAACCATACACTTTCATAAGTAACAACAGAAAAGACTATTGTAGGTGTGAACTCTATCTGCCTTGCAGCCTGTCAGAGAACCACAGAACAGTTTGGGTTGGAAGGGACCTTAAAGCTCATCAAGTTCCAATCCCCTAACATGGACAGAGTCAGCTTCCACTAGATCAGGTTGCTCAAAGCCCCATCCAACCTGGCCTTGAACACTGCCAGGGATGGGTTAGCCACAACTTCTCTTGGCAACTTGTGCCAGTGCCTCACCACCCTCACAATAAAGAATGTCTTTCAAATTTTTTCCTGTCATAACACCTCAACTCATGAATCACTGGCACTGAAATGGTCATTGACTACACCTCCTTGCATAGCAGCAGGCTGAAGACACTGCAACCTGAAGGGCTCCAAAACACTGCTGCTGTAAAAACTTTAAATACTGATTGTATATTAATCAACACATCATGACTGCGAACAGGTACAAGCTGGCCTCTGCAAATGGCTGAGAGGCCACAACTCTCTTTCTAGACAAAGGGAACAGAGCAAACACTTCGGGGTGAGGGCTGGAGATAAAAGGACAGGCCCTATGCCTCAGAGAGATCCTTCACCAGTCAGCACGGGTTCCTAATTATACCCAGCTCCCACGTGAACATCAAGAGTAAGAGGCTACTATTAGGTCTGACCTGTTACCAGTAACATGAAGTATCCAGTCTGGGGTATGCCCAGGTCAGCCCCTTTCAGCTGGATCACGGCAAGGATGGATTCATCTCCAGCTCCTACAGCTGGTGAAGCACAATAACATCCTGCAAATCAATTAACCTAAACACCAATTCCCCAGGATCACTTTTTTAAGGTGTCAGTAAACAACTGAAATAAACCAAATGCAACCCCTCTATGTAACTTTGAACAGAAAAAAACCCTCTCACGAAACAGTAAGAACTTTTAAGTCCTGTATTTTCACACTGGAAAAGATGTTCCCTCCAGCTTTGTACAACAGAATTATTTTTAAAAGCAAACGTAATTAATCACATGCCACTAGCGTTAGTAAAGGAACACAGAATCCCCGTAAAGGAAGACAGCTGCTAAGCCTCCTCAGCACTGTCAGACGAGAACCAGGAACAGGTCTGGAAACTTTGATAGGGTCTGAGGTAGGTCTTGATTTCTACACACAGAAATACCATTACTGTTGTACTTTGAATCATTTAAGTTTTACAGGTCTGATGCACTCCTATAAGACAAAGTTAAGCAATCAGCTATCTCCGTTCACTGTTAACACAAAACCAGATGTTGCTCCTTACCTGTGGCGGCAGCAGCCCTACCGCAGGTAAAGCGAAGCTCCAGGCGGTCTGCGCCAGCGTCCCACAGCCTGGGGTGAGGCAAGGGCTTGTACCTATGCCAGTCCATGCTGAAACACCTCCCAGAGGCGGTTTTAAGTCAAGCCTGGGACGAGGTGCTCCTGTAACGCCTGGCAGGCCCGCCAAAGAGCGAACCCTACCACACCGACCTTCCACATCAACCACCAGCCGGTCCCCAGGGCAACAAAGGGCCCCGCCCCTCAGTGCCCTCAATAACTCCACCCCCTTCCAGAAGTTTCCCGGGCCCCGCCCCTCAGTGTCCTTGCCGAGCTCCGCCGCATTCCCGCAGGTTTTGGGCGCTGCGGCACACGTTAGAGCGGCCGCAAGGGAGCTGGCTTCTCTCCGTGCAGATGTTTCCGTCAGGCCGCCCTCCCCCCCGGGGCAGCGCGAGCACCGAACACCGCGCCGGGGCCGCAGGGAGCGCTGGTCACTGAGTGCGCCGCCGGCACCGCGGTTGGCCAGGCCTGGGAAGGGCCCAAGGAGACCCTGGCCCGGGGTTGCCATGGGTGTGTTCCTCACCTTCCGCTCTTAACCGGGAGGAGGTGAAGAGCAGGGAAGCTCATTCTCCGTGGATGCTGCTCTGGAGACAGGGCTGTCCACTAACAGGGCTAGCACAGTGCTGTTGGTTAGCGACGTGGTTAAACCCAGGTGTGAAAGGCATTGCCAATCTGGGCCTGGAGCCAGCAGGTCAAGGGGCAGGTTAAACTGGTCCCTGTGCTGATGGAAGCATCAAGGCAGAAGAGACAGGAGAGGTGGGCAAAGTGCCCTGGAGCCACTGCCTTTGGTCCTGGTCTGGAGCAGGAAGGTCTCCTCCAGCTAAGCTCTGGTTAGCAGGCTGTCTCCCAGTGGCTCGATTGTAGCCAGCAGAAAGAAACACAGTTACACTTGTGTGTATACCAATATCCTTAAATTGGCTTACAAGCATTAAAAGGATGTAAACAAGAAGCTGAACAGTTACAGGAAGCTGTATGCAGCATTGCACAGAAACTCATCCCTAATCAACGCGGATAGTTGCGCAGTGGGTAATGGGAAAAGCCAAGCAGAGGCCATGGTACAAGCTTGGGCACAATTCTCTGGAACGAGAAGTCAAATGTTCCCACTTTTATATCTAAAATTACTAATAATGAGTAAAAATAATCTTAGATCACAGAAAATATCATCCTGTCTGCAAGGAAACAATATGAAAAGGGGGCTTGACAAATGTGCCCACCCCTAAGGGTGTGCAGGGCACTTTCACTCACTGAGCACTGGATCTCAGGTGATGCAATACAGCTCTTTGGTCCTCAATGGCATCATACTTTAAGGAAGCCAGTGTCTTCTCCAGCGTAATGACAGTAAAAACATTCTACTTACTGGCACAATGACAGAAAAACCGAAGTTACTGCCATGCTTCAGTAACTTTGGACCCAAACTTTGGAAGAAATACGAATTTGTATAATTTTTCTTCTCATAACTCACCAGCATTGCCTCATTTTAGAGAAAAGATTCAGTACCCAAACACTTGTTTTATTTTTTGAGAAGAAAAATAAACCCCAAACCTTCAATTACCAAATACATACTTGCAAGTGTGGGAAGCTTCAGCAGGGCATTGTGTAGTTTCATTTGTGAAGACACCTGAGTGGGTTGTCCTGAAGGTGGTTGCAAAAGGCCACGTTGCAGAGTGCTCAGGTTTAAACAGTGTGTGGGATGAGTGTTTCATTGGAATAAATCCACTTTTATTACCCTGAAAAACTGACGGAGACTTCTTTTCCTTGGTACTTAGCAAGTCAGCTTGACAATATTGAAGCCAGGCTAGAGAGTTACTCTGTTTCACTGTGCCAAATCAGATCTTCAAACTCTCAAAAATCAGGTACTGCTAAAAAATTTGAACATGAGCCTTCACAATCAGTCTCACTGCTCTGACAGCAGTGCTGCCTTCCTTCTTCACATGGCTTCACCTGAGCAGTGTGGGTGATCTGCAGCTCACCCCCTATTCAATGCTATACAGACTTTTCCTAACACTGCAACCAGCATTAAAATGTTTTCCTTCCATGCCAAAAAGCCTAACATCAGAAGTAGTACTTGCCTGTTACCATCTGTTGGTTCTATCTCTTCTCAGCCAACAGTCCCGCAGAATTTCATGGGAGTACTTGGTCATAAAGACTGAGAAGATATGAAATTACTGCCCTCAAGCACCAAGGCAGGATCACAAGGATTCCTGCAGGATGTCAAGGGATGTTTGCTCACCTGTTCTCAAAAGCCTCCAGTAATCAACATTAATATAATTATGCTTAAAAATGTCATTCAGTACTTCTACGCCTCTACCATAAGGACTTACTAGTCCTTACTTGCTAGTTCTTCACTACTTCTTGCCCTCTGTATCACCAAGAAGAGATTATTCACTTCACCTTTCAAAAAGTCTGGTAGATTTAAGACTTACATTTCCTTCTGTCTGCTCTTTTCTAGGCTGAACCTATCCAGTGTGCTTCTTGTCTCACTGGTTAAACGTTACCAGTCTCAGTTCCCTCTTACTGCTCTCTCCTGTTTTCCTTCCCCTTGACCCACAGCTGGTTCCTGCAGTGGCGGGGCCAGCTGCAGCAGGCCGGGGAGGCCCAACCCTTGCTTATAGAGCAGGGGGTGGCTTCAGCATCTCTCAAGGCATTTTTCTGGTAATCATCCCAGGACAGTGTTTCTCTTTTCACACCACCATTATGGCATTTCTGACCTGAATTCAGATTGTGATACATGGCAATTCCTAGGCTCTTTTCTGAAAATTGCTATGCAGCCAGTAATTTCTATCCCCTATTTCAGTTTTTTAACAGCTCCTGCGAAGTGTAGAAATTGAATTTTCAGACCTATTGTGTTGCATTTTTTTCCAGACTAGTTATTTAGGTTCATTTTGAACTGCAGCTTTGTTCTCCAGTCTCCCTGGATTGCACTCTGGCTGGTGCCAGCAGAGGGGGGCTGCCAGCGTGCCAGAAAACAGGGCTGAATTCCACATGGTTGCGATCTGCTTCACTGCCCAGCGAGTCCAGCAGCATTTAATTTGACAAGAACTGGATTGGTTACCAATGGAAAAATACAGTATTGGGCCCTGAGCATCATGTAAACAGAAGAGACTGACAGTTAATTTCATATTTATCTACATGCTATTAAATATTTAGAATTGAGAAAGTCCAAGCCATACATTTGAGCATGCATTGCTACCAGGCAACTTTCCCTGTCTGCCTTTCATTTTCTAAAGGACTTCTTCTGGTTTATGTGTTAGTATGCTTCTGTGACTGACTGCTTTTTTATAAAAGGAAGGTAATGTAGTTTCAGAAAAATTATTTAAGACACTGACATGTAAGATCTTGGCACAGGAAGAGCGCACCACCATATTTTAAATTTAGTAATTTATTTTTTACTACAAAACTTTTTTGTCTTGACTCACTTACTACTTTCCGACACACATTGAGATACTTCTTCCCCTGCTCAGCACATCTTAAAAATGAGCTGAACTCACTTTTTTGTCCAGCACTGCATCACTAACTCTGGGAAAAGTTTCCCAAACTGCTTCAATTCAATGTGGCAACAATAAAGCAAGCAGGTATCTGACCTACTGCTGGACTCCAGAAACTAGTCCATCAATTACAAACAATTTGAAACCTGACAAGTTGGTTTGATGATTCTTTCTAAAGCTCTAATTAGCATTTCAAACTTCTGTTGTAGATAAAAAGTGTACACCATGTTTGCAGTGTTGACATTAAAACCAAATCATTTTATAACAGTCATTAGAAATTTCAGTTTAACATCCACGTTCTTCTAATCAACATCACTGTAAATTCTTTTGTCCTGTAAGACAAAGGAAGTTATGTTTTAAAAGGTGGCAGTGAAAGAAAGCATGGATAGTACATGATGCTATACAAGTCACTCACTTCCATCAGGAGAAGACAATGTAAACCATTAGTGCACAGCCCACTATCCAGCCAACTGCGAGGAGTATAGGTACAACGAGATGTGAAAGCGGAACTTGGGCTGAAAGAGAAAAGATGGTCTTCTTCAGAAAGGTCATGTTACACTGAAAAAAAGAAATCACTAAATTCACCACATCAAACCCAGTTACCACAGAGCAGTAAGATACCTGTGAGCTCAGGTTGCATTATCTACGATTGCTATTTTTAGTATGGAGTCACTGTATCTTCACAGCTGTATCTTGACATTCTCCTAATGAGAATACCTGGCAAAAGCCCAAAGAGATTTTCATGGTATGTCCTCTGCAATCAGATAGGTACAAGGCTTAGCACTTCCAAAAGCAGCAAGGTACAGGGAGGAGACAGAAGCATGGTTCTGTCCTTGGTCTCCACAGGTCATCAGCAGAACATCTGTACTAGGCTTTATTAACAGCAGCTGTCCTGGCAAATTGAGGACCTTATCCCTGACATTTACAGCACCTTCTAGAAGTCTCATTAGGTTAGCCGCAAAGTGACTATCATCACACCCATTTACAATCAGTGTGCCTGGGGCTGCAGTGAGGGAATGCTGTATGAGTTCCTGCATGCCAAAGGGATGTTCGCCAACAGCCGTGTGTCAGGGACTCACAGCTTATCTCTGTGCACAGTGCCCAACTTAGGCCTCTCCTACCCTGTCACTACAGTGATGTGGGGTAGTTAAGACTGATGGAATTACCCGCAAGGATGTTCCCCACTTTCAAGTAAAAAAATAACAGTACGCCTTGCCTGGCTGAGTTGGGCTGGGCACAAACATGATGTCCTGCCTGTATTGTGCAATAGTACTAGACCAAGTTGAAAAATTAACATAGAGATGTGGAGTCCAGTGCAGGTTATGTTTTTTCAGGGAGCATGCTGGAAACAGGACTAGCACAAATACAGTTCTGTACGCATGATAATTTTAAAGACCCTCCTTTAAGTTTCCTGCAAATAGTAGAAGCTTGCCAGAAAGCAGCATATCAACTTTTGAGATGGCATTACTTACCATTATAATACAACAAAGCATTATCTTTTCTGCAGTTGAAAGATTTCCAGGTTTCTGAAGGGATTAATAAATAATGTAAAACTATTCACACCACCTTGCACAGTTTAAATCAAGCAGACAGACTTTGGAGGGATGCTTAATAATTTAAGGGTTTCCGCATTGCTTTTTTAAAGCTATGCCAGCACAAACATGTCTCACTGTGATACCACATAGTGTATGTACTGAGAGAAAATACAGACAGAAAATCTGCATGGGCTGGCATAAAAATATTAAGCAGATAAGCAATCACACAGCAAAGACAAAATCCTGCTCTGAAGCTGAGAGTCCTTTTGCCACAGAGGAGTCCTTTACCTGTTTCATTTAAAGACTGCTACTCCTTTGACACCTGGTAAGGTAAAGCTACTTCTTTTGAGAATCATTTCTCTCGACTTGCAATTTTTTCTAAAGGTCCTATTACAAAAGAAAAGGGCTGGATCCTGCTGGGATACATGGGGGAATTTTGACAGAGCTGTGTTGAGTTGCCATGGTCTCTGCTGAATATGGTGTTTTGTTATATGAGATCCAGTTCAAATGCAGTAAGACAAGAGAGGCAGGCAAGTCCCAGGGGGTCAGCAGGAATGCTGTGCCCAATATTTGGCATAAAGTAGCAAGCAGCTGGCTCCAGGGTATAGAGTTTCCTGAGAGCCATTGGGAGTACTTGTGTTTCATATTTTAGGAACAGAAATGACCATGAAATCATTTGCTCTGATCTCCTGTATGTCACAAGACAGATACCCCAAGACTTGAGATAAATCAACTGCTTGGAAGACTGTGTTTTATGCCACAAGCAAGCATGAGATAAGCACAAGGCTAGGGCTTGGCTGGGTGAGATGTCCAAGCAGATCACCCCTTTGTAAGACCTCAGAAGAAGGTGACAAACTCAAAGGTCCTAACATTTGGTCCAAGGGAAAATACCCTGAGTCTAAATGTGGTAATTGGCATTATCCCTCACCATGGAGCAAGGCTGTGTGCACCAACAGCCAGAAAGAGAGCATCTGTGTCATCCACTTCCCAGCCTGAGGTGGAGATGGGCATGGAGGGACTAGCAGCAGAGGAACAGAATACTTTTAGGCAGCTGCGTTTTGGAAAGAAAGAAATCTTTACTGATACGTGCAGACTAAACTACAAGGTTTCATTATAATCACTGTTTAAATTAATTCACATGAAAGCAGTATACTGAGGGAAACGTATTGTTGAGGAGCAGTCACAAGTTTTGTTTTCAAACAGAACAAAGCAACAAATCCTAGCTTCTGGGGTTTGAGCTAGAGCCTGCTGAAATAAAAAGCCCGTTCTGGATGGCAGCAAGAATAAATGAAGGAATCTCACTGTCACCTATGTATGTAAGCTTGTATTCTAGCTACAAATTACTTTTTTTTTCACCCATTATAGATGTTTTTCCTACTTCAAGCATGAATTTATCTCAAACAGAGAGAGGCTGGTCTGAGCAGCAAACACACATGACTTTTGCTGTGTGGGGTTCCTCTGCGTGGGATTGACAGACTCCCAGGCTTTGCATTTTTGCAGGTTGAAAGCCTCTGGAATTGCCCTCCACAGGATGCCTGGGTACCACAGTGAAGCCAAGGATCCATTGGCTACAGGATATCACAGTACAGGTTTCCAAGCTAAATAGAGACTAAATATACTGAGAAATTCAAGCTGATCACTGTAATATTTTTTTTTTCTTTTTTTTGCTGGGGTGGTGGTGTTAGGTGTCTACCTTTTATCCAGACCTGAAGGTTGCCTTGATTTTGCAGTCTGTATTTGGTCAAAACTCCTCTGACAGCTACCACAAGCAAACCAATGTGTGTGGTCTCGCTGAGCTGTCTTCACCCCTGAAATCTCTGGGCCTAACTGCACTGACAAGGGTGCCCCAAAGTACATTGCAGAAAATCTCCCCCTTAAACAGGCAGAGGCTTGGCAGGTAGAGAAGGGGATGATTCCCTGCCTGAGCCTGTTAAGCTTGGGCTCACAGTCTTACATTCCCTACACCAAAATGCCTCAGAATTTTCCAAAAGTTTTCTTTGTATTTTATCTCATACAGGGTACAGGCACACACACAACCAGACAACTGGCTCAGCACTGGGACAGCAGTTTGAACATGACACTAGTCAGCAGGCTGGGAGAGAATGTGTGCGTGTCCCAGAGGACCATGCCTCCTGCATGTCTCCCAGCTGCCAGCTCCAACAGACAAGTTTTTCTGTGCTCCTTATGTGCTCCGATACACAACTGAACCACAGCACTGATGTTGACAGGCTCCTGTGGTGTTGGCATTTGCCAGCTTTGTATTTAAAACTCACACGAACCGGGCAGTTACTCATTTCAGTGAGGTTGCCCAGCCATTTCTAATCTGCTCCTTGCAGAGGGCGTGCAGGGCAGGACCAGAGGCAATCAAGCACAGCTGCCCCAGTGTTGTGAACTCCCGCTGCCACCCAAGGGCTGGTGTTGGTGCCAGCCTGGAACATCTGAGTGATTACGGCCACAGTGCTTCTAAAATAAATAAATAAATACACCCCACCTCAAACTAAACACAAATAACAATGCACATCCTACGAACGCAAAATATGGTCAAGTGATAACTCCTAGTGGAATACCAGTATCAATATGATTTCTGCAGATATCAATGAAAACTAAAATTAAGAAATACATTCAGTGTCCTGTTTTAGCTGCATTTAGTAGAATTCTGCTATCCTTCTTAGATACCAGTGGTGACAATGCAAAAAAAAAAATAAAGGAAAATAGAAGTCTTTTAAAGACTTAATACAGCTGTGAAGATGTATAAAAAAAGTTAACTTCTACAAGGAAGAGTACTGCCTGTGTACACAGCTAACACCATATTTAAACTTAGTCATTTCACCATCCCAACAGTGGAAATAAATCTTACATCTTACAGTGAAGGAAACAGAAAATTACAATGAATGTAATATGCATTTTTATAAATGCCTTTGCTCCTTGGAGAAGTTGGAAATGTGTTTACAATGACAAGTTCATTATTAAAATTTCATTTTGCTCTGCCACTTGGGCTTTGTGGGGTTAAAATATAAAGTTTTATATGTTCACCTAGCATTACACTCAGATTTCAGCTGCACAGTATTTTTAAAATGCTGTCAAACATAACTCATTTTATTATGTTAGTAATACAAACACACTCCATTTTATTACATTAGTCAATTTAAAATTACAACTACAAAAAACCCAAAGAAAACAAAACTGATAGGATGCGGAAATACAGGAGGAACCGCAAGCTACGTTTAACTGATTGCTGTTAACAGAATTAGCTTTTAAACTGATTACACTTTCTTACTGAAGAGTAAAATATATAGCATACTACACAAGAATACATTACACTGCTCAGATCTGAGTTTTAATACTACATTGTTACACTCACAGTTAACTCTGCATCTTACCTGGTTCTGCCATTCCCCCCTCTGCTAGTTTTATTGGCAAGTTTTAAGGTTTGCCTCTGCAGTTGTTCTTGTGAGCCTCAGGATGCTTTAAATAGAGCAATATTTGGAATGTGCTGCAGCTGCCTTGCTCACTGATGCCAGTTTTTGGCTATATGCGTTCAATTGTCTAAAAAGGCAGGAGCTGAAGGGATTCAAGGTTACATCTTCCTATTCATGCAACTGCACGTGTGTTTCGGTGAAGACTAAATAAAGATGGGTCAATTTTTGAAGAGGGAAAGAAAAAAGGGCAAAGCCTGCTTTATGGTCTCTTTACAACCGTGAAACACCAGATGGCAAGTTTATGTCATATTTATGTGCATCCATATATTTAAAGTATGACAGGGTTCCAAGTTGTTCTTACTCTTCCACATCTTTTCTCATCCCTCTCCTATCAAAAAAACAAGCCAAGGCCTATTCAGTAATACCTGGTGCATGTACTTCTGTAGTTACAGCTACATATAGTTATAGGCTATATATGTTTTATATATATATACACACACACAAACACATACACACACACTTGCTAAACATCACCAAGTATCTTGTACTCCACAAAGCGCAGAGGTACATTTAGCATCTTCCCTCTGAAAGATTACAGTGTACAGTCACAGGTTTTCATTGCTCCTGTGGGTAGTGGGTAACAAAATTCAAGGGAGGGACATCTGTAAGATAATCTGAGAATGATTTTGTCCTAAATAGGATAAATCATTGCAAACTCTCTCAAACTCAGAAGAGAAAAAAACATGGAGCTAGTGCCAGATCTGAACCAAAAGGAGAAATTGCATGTTACGCAAGCTTGTATCACATGAAGGAGAGCTCTGTATAAAGATCCCTTGCTGTGATCCTGGCCACAGTTTTTGACCAATAAGAAACCCACTCAAAGTTTGTTAAGGAAATGAAGCCCTGTACATATGCTTCAGTCATTCAGAGAAACACACAGGTGCATCCATGTTAGCAAAAAGCCCCTAACAAATGCTTTGTTTCAGCAACAGGAGGACATTTCCTCTAGCATTCATCAAGCTTACATAAAATACCATTTCAGAGCTGTGCCTGAATGAGACAGGGATTCTTCCCATGTGTTTCTGAAATGGAAGAGGACACAACTTGCTGTTCAAAAGCCATTCCAGAACAGGTACATGGGATGTTTTGAAGAAATCTATCTGCATGCTTGTCTAGTTTGGAGGCTTTGGTGTGGGCTCCCAAAAGACAAGGCAGAGCACAGAGAGACATTATGCAGACCTTCTAAGACAGATTATAGTTTTCTTATGTGCTTTTTGCTTAAATATTAAGTACATTAAAAAAAAAAATCAGTTATCACCTTTCTTCAGAATTGTTTCCTCTCTTACAGTGGCTATGGAGATCGATTCTTCCTTAGAGCTATTATATCTGACAGCCTGAAGAAAAGGAATTAAGCCAAAGTTAGACTCCAGAGCACCAGGTGGAAAAAATACCAGCTTTTCATACCAACACAATCTAACTTGTTCCAAAGCAAGTTCATAACTCAAGTATGTAATTGTGAAAGGACTAGAGCTTTTTATAATGTAAATGCAATACCAGTCCCTACCAAGGAAGCGTCTGCTCCTGAACACAGAAGCTGCTTCCCAGGGTTCCCTTCTAAGTTCCCTGCCCACCCCATGGCTGAAGAGGCAGAGCAGAATGGTGCAGATACATGTCCAATGCTACACATAGAAAACAGCTGGGAGAGACAGCCTTCAGTATACCCATAGCAAATGCAATTAGATGTCTGGTTATTTTTACAGGAATAATATTCTTTTTATCCTAGATGGAAGAGTGGAAACTGTGGGCCCCACGCTACATGACTTACATCCAGCTGCAGAGTACTTGCATCTGGAATGAACAACAAAAAAGAATGGCAGAAGAATATTCTAAATACAATTATTTGTATTGCTGTGATCAGTATCTTAGAAACCATGCTAACACACATACAATGTGACTGAGCAGCACTCAACTCTGGCAAAACTTTACTGAAGACAGTTGTTTCACATCAGCAATGACTTTAGTTGTGTATAGATTGCATACTATAAACAATCTTACTTTTTTGGTCTTTTGAGTCTGGCATGGATTCTAAGATGGCAGTTATGGAAAAGAAAAAAAAACAACAGAAGCCAAGTCATGTCACCTAAGGAAGTTTTCATCAATTTCTGCAATCAGTATCTTGACCATCTTGATCCTCAGTCAGTTTGTGCTCTCTCAGACTCTTGTGTTTCTGTTTGCACAATGAGATATATCAAAGTAGGTACTTCGAGGCATTATTTCCAGTTCTGCAGATGCAACAGAGACATGGAGCTTTACTGTCTGCCCAGTAATACCAGGTTCATAGCAGGAAGTCTCTTCTGACAGCGGAACTTTGCTGGCTGAAGGATCAGACTCCTCCTTCTTCTAGTAGGAGTACAGGACTTACAGGATTTTTGGGGACCTGAAACACCTGATTGCCAAATAACAGCATCATGAGATAACATCTTTTTCATCAATTTTAACACCATGGTACCTGCTAATCTCTAGAATTTCCCACTGGTGGTTTCCCAGCAGTTGCGACAACACCAGCAATGCCTTCAGACCAGTAAAGACTCAGTGAGTCCCCTCAAAGAATCATGTTCACCTGCCCAGGGAAACTAGTCAAAGAACTTCCACTGGTTTCTAGAGATCATTTTGACCCAATGGGTATGCTAATATAGTAACCGAAATGGCAAGTTCTGCAAGTACTGAAGTTTTCTGGTACTGGATATGCCTAGTATGTCTCCACTGCTGGCTTTTGCCAGTCCTCTGCATTCTTGAACAAGACAGAGCTCCTTAAAAAATGCTTGCCTTTCTCCAAGCACCACATAAGGAAAGCAGTTTCATTACTGCTCATCCAAAATGGGCATACTCTTAAAATAAAACTCTATAATATTTTGCTATGCCATGCACAATTCAGTGTATCACATCATTTTGAGACACAAGAATAAAATACGAGCTTTACATTCTTTGTCTAGCTATGCTGTAAAGCAGAGGTTTTGGGATATGATGCAATTTGGTGTAAAAAGTAATATGATTCTGTTCTTTGTGTAATATATTTATTGAAAAATACCCCCAACCCCTCTGATACAATAGCTTCATTGGCTCCATAGCTGTTCCCGTAAGAATCCTATCTGCTTTGGTTCTACTAATTACATACATGCATACACACATCTGATCTAATGGAAGTAATTTGTGCCTGGAACCAGGTATTCCTAACAAGAGAATCTGACCTTCACAGATTGGGAACTTTCCAGGCCTAGTTGCCTTAAGCAAGGACAGAGAGTCATTGCTGTTCACAACAGTTTTCCTAACTACTACCTTAATTTAGCTGCAAGCACAGTAAGTATTGTTCTGCAAGCCTAAAGCATGAGGTTAAGGATATAAAAGTTGTAACTGCAGCAAAGAATAGTGTAACAATATCGACATTATTTTAAACAACACATCATCTGTTTGGAATGGACAAGAGAACTGCAGACAAATTCTACAATAGATCTCAGTCCAAGAGCCAGAAAAAAAAAGCAGAGGGACAGTTTTAAAATATAAAAAACAAGAAGAGTACACAATGCTTAAGAATAAAATCAGGAGAGGGATTTGTAACAAAAAGCAATTGCTTTTTTGCCTGCTGAAGAACAATACGTATGAAAAACAACTTCCTCATTCTTATTTGTGTTTCAAATTAAAGTGTAATTTTTTTTTTCTCTGTTTTTGTGCTGGCATCATGAAATACTCAATATTCAGAGTTAGCTGTGCTCAGAAATAAGATCTCTCTTTTAGCCTTTAGTTCACTGAGGTACTCAAACAGATTTGTCTCACTTAAGGCAGTCTTTTGAGCAGGCTCCCTGATTTCAGTCCTCTTATCTGCTCAAAGCTAGGAATGCACTTTAAATGCCTTCAGTACTTTAAGTGAATTAGAAGAAATTGAGTAAGTCAGCAGGGCTGCAAGTCTTTCTGGAAGAGAAAGCAATTTTAAGGGGAAAAACAGTACTGATGTTTTATAAAATATTAAATTCCCTTCTTCAGATCCATGTGGACTTTGCCAAGAAGGGGAAAAAAAAAAAAAAAAAAGGGAAAAAAAACAGAGGCTTTGGATCCACTGGCTGGCTGGAAGTTATGAATGTTGTTGTTCACCAACTCCTGCTGCCGGGCACTGAGAACCCTCTACAGGCCATTTACCTGGTTTGGAGGAACAATGCCCCTAGCTGTGTTCAAAATTATGTTCCCTGGTAGTATAAAGTGCACTATTTCACTGATGGCTATCTTTTTGGATATTCCTTCAGTCATACAAAGGAGGTATATGAGCCTGCCATTCTCATCCAAGCCATTTTACTGTGTCTGCACCAAAAAGGCCAGGCAAGCCCTGGGGAGCTGTCTGTCACCAGCTCCTTTGCCACACCAAAACAAGGATCCACAGCATCTGTCCTTGAGCACAATGTTCATGGAAAATTAATGGACAAGGGGGCAATTAGAGACAGAGTCCAATCCTATAGAAAACAGAAAAAAATCAGGCCAGCACTACCAGAAATGTTTGTACAGCTCCTTAACAGGTAGACTGGTTACATAAGAGCATTTCAGCTGGCTAACCTAATACGGGGGCCACAAGGCCAACAGATACGTTGCCACAAATACATTGCTGGATTTGTTCTCCTGTAACAGCAATGGGCACAGGTCTAACATCAGAACATCTAAATACAGCATCTCTCCATCCTTCAACCCACCCGCTGTGTTGTGTTTGTACACATGGGGTGTTACAGTAAGCAGAAGTAAAGGCTGTGCTTGGTTAGAGAACAGTCAGAGACAAACATTTCTGCTTCGTGAACTTCGGGTTTCCTCTCTCTGAACTAGTGCTGGTTTTTAGACAACATGTTCGGGAAAGATTTAGCTAGAAACAATCACCTATCACCTCATTAAGAAGCAAACTCTTCCCCTTTTGTACCAGAACAGGTTTTTTTCATAACACAGTTCTCTCTGAGGAATGCTGGGAAAAAAATAGAGAAAGCAAATATCAGCTGCTTGGTAACAGCAACACATATGCTTTTGCTATGCTACTTTTGCTGAGTCTTGAGTGATGTAGCATCTGATATTTGGGAAGCAACTATCAGAAAACCTCTTTAAAATACAATGCATTTTGCAAGAAAATTGGCAATATTTACTGTTTAAATAGCTAATATATTTAGAGTACATTCTAACCTTCATAATTTTGCTAGTACCTAGATAAGAAGTATTAGAATGTCAAATTTATATTATTGTTCGTTGTACTTCTGACACGTGAACATCTACATACAGTATTCAGTAGCCTGGCAAAGAAATGCTTTCAATTTACAAATTCTGTGCAATTCTTTTAAATAACTGAAGGCTATATTGCTTTATATTAGAGGGACATACCAACTCACAAATTAATGCTCCAAGTAATACCTACAGCTTTGCAATATTGGTAGTTATTTAAGCACATTTACTTCAACTGAGCCTTTCCCTTTAAAATGCCCTGATTTGCTAGCAAATTGAAAGCCATGTTTATACGCCTTAAAATGTGTTATTACTTTGCCATAGTCTCCTGTGACCTGCAGACTAACACGTGACAAATTATCAGATTATTGCATTCACAAAATAGATATGGAAAAATTGTCTAATGAGATGCATTTTATTAGTCACAGCAATCTTAGAATTTGAAACCTCCCTTAAAAATTGCCAGACATTACTTCCACTCACATTTACATCATGAAAATAAAGACTGATTGTTATTTGATAACTACACAACTGAAGACATGAAAAGAGCCATTTATTAATCTACTAAATATTTAATTCCACACACTAGTTCCTACGGCTCGGGGTATATGAGTCATTTCTCTTAGCAGAGCTCTTCAGCTGAATGCTGAGATACCAGATAAAAAAAGTCTGTAAATATAACAGAAAAAGGGCACTATCATTGTAGACATCTACATGTGCAATGTCATTTCTGGATTAGTTCCCCACTGCTGCCTAAAAATAATGTGGATAACGACGTGGGTTTTGTCTTTGTACAGCTTCATTCCAATGGCTGCTCAGTGACTGGTGAATACCTTTCTAGCTGGCAAGGGGATAATTGCTGTGAATAAATCTGCCTGACACATAATTTATGAGAAACCATCTCAGTTGGATTGCTTAGTACTGAACTTTAGATGACTGGGAGGTAAACTGCCCTACAAAGCAATGGCACACAAGGCAAGGCCAGATTTCAAAGCTTCCACTTTAGTGGCCAGAGTCTCAATGGGCACTGCAACCTGACCTGGGTTTCCAGCTTGTTCTGCACAGCCTGCCGAGACCATGGACAACAGCCCACTCCATGGGGATGGCTGTATGTGAACAAAGAACTGAGTGCACGTAACAGAAGATACTTGGAGACAGAAAGAAGGTCTGGAGCCCTGTCCAACCAAGTGCTGCACACCCTTGCCTGCTGCTGAACTGAAGGACACGTAGGATGATAAACACCTCCCAGGAATAGCTCAGCAACCAAAGCTGCCCAGTGTAGGGTCAGCAACAGGACAAGTTTCAGATTATTTCCTATAAAAACTTAATGAATTTCTTCTTCTCCAGTGATTATTCTTCTGGAGGGAAACCCAACCCATCATACACTGTAAATCAGCAAGGGATTTATGATTTGGAAAATGTCAGCTTTCTGGAAGATGCATTTTATGATTTATACATTAGCATAACCTGTTGGTGTGGCTTTTACTGTGAGAGCCAAAGAAAAATCGGCATTTAATGTGCCACTCAGATTTGCACTGAATCTTAACTTCCTGACCAAGCTACTAAGGCCAAGTTAAAACTCCAGTCTTACCATGCTGCATTTTCCATGTGATTTTTCTGCTATCACAAACCCACAAAGTTCATAATCCTTTCATTCTGTTTTTTTGGATAAGAAACGTTGTGCAGTGCACCCCTTATACAGAAAAAAAGAGTGAGGAAAAGGCCTCAGTACATGTGCAGGTAGGCATGTCCAGCAGCGGCCAGGTGCCAGAGTCTTAGCCTCTTGCACTGCTCCATTCTGCTAGCAAAAAGCTAAAAGGAGCACTAAGCCACCCCCAATAATAGAGCAGACCCCGTACTGCTTTGCAGTAGTTGTGATCGTGACCTACCTTCAAGCAGTCAATCATGTTGAGGACACTACATCTTCCAGCCTTCCACTGACACTGGGCTGGAATGCTTCCTCTGGCTCCAGGTCTGCTGGAAGTTGGGTAGTGGGCAAAAAGAAATCCAGGCACACTGTGCCATCCGCACTATTTGTAGAAAATTCTTTCCAGTGGTTGTAAGGACAGAGAAGAAATGAGGACTCCCATGTCTGACCTGCTTGAAGAAACCTGAATACACAGTGCTCTCCCAGCTCAGGCCAGCCAGGCCAGTCCCAGCTCCCACCACTTCCCCTGCACCCAAGGGTGAAATGGGGCACACAGAAGAGCTTGGGAGGCTTCCCCCTTCCCCAGCACTGCTTGTGGCACAAGAAGAAAGGTGGAGGAAAGGAAACAGAGCGAGTGACTGCCAGAGCTGCTTCCCAACTGATTTCTTTTTGCCCAGTTCCCCTCTTTCCCTGGCTTGCAAAGTGACTGTTCTAGAAGATGAAGTTTAAAGTTTAGTGCTCAGGATGCCTTTTTACCATTTCAGACTCAAATGGGCAGGAAAAGGTCCATTCAGAGGGTGGGGAGGCAGCAGTGCGGGAGGCCCAGAGCAACCAACAAGGGTCACCTAAGGGGATTGTTATTCTCAAACATTTGGCTTTTGCCGTGATGCCCAGGCCATGCCCAGACAAAGAGATGGCTACAGCTGGGTATTAGATTATGCTTTTGGTTGTTCCCTTGTTTTAACTCCTGGAAAACAAATAAGTGTACTGCTTAGCTGGGATGCATCTTCAGTTCTTGGTTCAACCCTGAATTGAAAACAACTTACTAGACTGAAGATACACATTCAGAAACAAATGCTAGCTCATATGATTTCAGCTCATGTGCAGAGCAAAGTCATGCACAGGCTGAAAATATTTTTACTGGATCTTACTGTGTTCTCTGAAAGAACATTAGATCATGCCAGCAAGGAATACAATGGCAAACACAAAGTGGCTGAAGAAAAAAGGATGTATTCAATAACATAATTTGTGAAAGACTTTCTAAAATGCCATGTTCATCTAAGATTTAAATTATTTATCTGATCACTCCAGTTAACCATAAACACTGGATAAAATGGAGTAAGATGATTTCAATGTCCTCATGTTTGCTACAACAAAGTGATCCTTTCCAACCTAAACCATTCTACGATTTCCTTAGAATGTTTTATTCTGCATTTTCCTATGTGTTAGAAAACTACAACACAACTGAGTATAAGCTGGCCCTGGAATTTGTGCCCTAAAGTCACCCACCCTAAACTGCATCTTTTCCATCAGAAATACCCACAGATATCTTGCTCTCATCTGTACGTAGGACAACTCCGTTTTCTTAAACACTGGAAAAAGCAAGCCTAACCAAGGTTGGCATTTAATGAAAGGGAACAAAATTCAAGACCAGAAGAAAACAACTTGTGTGAAAGCAAAGCCATACTAAGGTCAGCAGAGATACACAAGACTGCACCAGCTGAGATTCAGCCGTAAGGAAACAGCCTTCATGTGAGTGACAGAGAGCCCTGCACTCTCCAAAAACTAATCACTTCTGAATGCGAGTTGTATCTGCATGATCTCGACACAAGATTTGACACTGTCCTCCTGGAAGAACCAGTTCAGACTTCCACTGCATTTGTAGACAACTAGTCATTTTCTCCTTCCTTTTCCAGGTGACTCTGGCCTAAGTTTTCCTGTGTGGAAAACTTTTTCAGTCCATCTGCTGGCAGAAGAACATGAGATGGATCTTTGTTCCTTTCCTTTTCTATAGCTTATATTTTCATTTTTAAATGCATCTACTGTGCTGGGGAAAAGATGAATTTTAAAAACTACAAGAACAAAGCACTTTATTAAAAAAAGCCGTGCAAGCCTTGAAAAGCCATTAAAACGTTACCAAGTTTTATGCAACCAGAAGTAAAATTCTACAAACATTAAAAAATTGACACTTCCATGCACAGATTAATAAAGTAACTTATTTGTGAGAAGGTAGCCAGCTTTACTAGCTAGATGCTACTGTAAACACCAAGTCCTTAAGGGAAAGGCAGAGAACAGCAGCAGCTCCTACACTTGTGCAGCAGTGCCCTCTTGCGCCAGACTGGGCAACTTCAGATCTACAGGGAAACTAGAGGGTGCTCTGCAGTATCAAAGGAGGCACTGGAGCTACATGCACAAAAAAAGGTGTGTGGGTTTTTGTGGTTAGGTTTGTGGCGGTTGTTTGGCTGTTGTTTGGCTTGGGTTTGTTTTTTTTTTTTTTAATTATTTTTGTTTGGTTTTGTGCGGGGTTTGTTATTTGGTGTGTCCCGTTCCCCCCCCCCCCCCCCCCCCCCAGCACCCAAACTATATATGCTGTACTTAAAACTTTTCTCAGGAAATATATAGTGGCTTGGGGCTTTGAAAAAACTGAGCGTTTCCTCATTCGGAGGTGTGTCTGTCCCTGTTCAAATGAATTCTTCTACAAATGAAGGAGGGCACCTGAATCTCGCTCTCCTCAGCCCTCAATACCCCTGTGCACTGGAAGCGAGTCCCAGTTCGGCGTCGTGGGAAACCCTCCCTCCTTCCTGCCCTGCTTCCCCAGGTGTCCCTCCGTAATAGGTTCGAGGCCCTGGATCTTGAAGGAGAGGGGGGTGAGGATGTGGTGCAAGGCCAGCCTACAAGGCCACATAAGAAAAGGGGTCGACTTTGCACCTCAAGACTGCCTCTGTTAAGAAAGAAAGAAGGGTCATTGTAGTAGGGGATTCCCTTCTGAGAGGAAGAGAGGGCCCGATATGCAGAGTTGACCCTCATCATAGGGAAGTTTGTAGTCTGCCTGGAGCCCGGATCAGGGATATCACGAGGTGCACCCGACAGGCTACTACCCGCTGCTGGTCTTCCAGACAGGTGAGGGGGAAGCTGCTTCCCGCAGTCTGAGGGGGATGAAGAAAGACTACAGGGCCTTGGGATGGATGGTGAAAGAGTCTGGGGCTCAAGTGATCTTTTCCTCACTCCTTCCATCTTCCACTGATGATGTGGGAAGGAATGGGAAGATTCAGTCCATAAACAGTTGGCTTCGAGACTGGTGCTACAGGCAGGGCTTTGGATTCTTTGATAACAGCTGGTTTTATAGGGCACCAGTCTGGACAAGGACAAGTGAGAAAGGTTTGTCTCACAGAGGCAAAAGGATGCTGGGGCACGAATTAGCGGGGCTCGTTCGGAGAGCTTTAAACTAGATTCGAAGGGGGATGGGGTTGTTGCTGGGCTTGCCCCAGTGGGGCAGCGCTCCAGAATTAATGAAGACTGGGAGGCCTCCTACAATCCTAGGGTGAAATCGGTGTGCTCAGCTCGCTCCCCTGGAATGTCTGTACACCAATGTGCGCAGCATGGGAAATAAGCAGGAGGAGTTGGAAACCTGTGTTAAGTCAGGAGACTATGATCTGGTGGCAATTACAGAGACGTGGTGGGACAGCTCACATGACTGGTATATAGTCATGGAGGGCTATGTCCTTTTCAGGAAAGACAGGCCAGCCAGGAGGGGTGGTGGGGTTGCTCTTTATGTGCGGGAGCAACTACAATGCACTGAGTTCTGTCCAGGGACAGATGACGAGCGAGTTGAGAGTCTGTGGGTGAGAATTAAGGGGCAGGCTGGCAGGGGTGATACTGTTGTAGGTGTCTGTTACAGACCACCAGATCAGGATGTGGAAGTTGACGAGGCCTTCTACAGGCAGCTGAGAGCGGCCTCACAGTCACAGGCCGTGGTCGTCGTGGGGGATTTTAACTTCCCTGATGTTTGCTGGAAGGACCACTCAGCAAACCCAGCCACAGTCCAGGAGGTTCCTCCAGTGTATGGATGATAACTTCCTCCTGCAAATGGTGGATGAGCCAACCAGGAGAGGAGCGCTGCTGGATCTCATCCTCGCTAACAAGGAGGGTCTGGTCGAAGCAGTAAGGGTTGAGGGCTGCCTTGGTTGCAGCGACCACGAGATGGTGGAATTCAGGATCTTGTGTGGTAGGACTAGTAGAATAGCAAGTAGAATTGCAACCCTGGACTTTAGCAGGGCAAACTTTGGCCTTTTCAAGCAATTGCTAGGGGAAATCCCATGGGCAAGGCTGTTTGAAGGTAAAGGGGCCCAAGATAGTTGGTTGGCATTCAAGGATTGCTTTATCTGAGCTCAAGATCGGAGCATCCCGACATGTAGGAAGTCAAGGAAGAGGGCCAGGAGACCTGCGTGGCTAAATAGGGAATTGCTGGGTATGCTCAAGTGGAAGAGGGGAGTTTACAGGTCATGGAAGGAGGGGCTGGCCACTTGGGAGGAATATAAGGCTGCTGCTAGAGGATGTAGGAAGGCAGCTAGGAGGACGTAGGAAGGCAGCTAGGAGGACTAAGGCCTCCTTAGAATTAAACCTGGCGAGAAGGGTCAAGGACAGCAAAAAGAGCTTTTTCAAATACATGGCAGACAAAACTAACACCAGAGGCAATGTAGGCCCACTGATGAACGGGATGGGTGCCCTGGTGACAGAAGATATAGAGATGGCAGAGTTACTGAATGCCTTCTTTATCTCTGTCTACTCTGCTGCAGGCAGTCCTGAAGAGCCCTGTACCCCTGAGACCTTAGATGAAGTCAGGTCAACGGAGCGGTTTGCCTTAGTCGATGAGGAATGGGTTAGAGACCAGTTGAGCAATCTGGACATCCATAAATCCATGGGTCCAGATGGGATGCACCCGCGGGTGCTGAGGGAACTGGCGGAAGTCATTGCTAGACCACTCTCCATCATCTTTACCAAGTCTTGGGAAACGGGAGAGGTGCCTGAGGACTGGAGGAAAGCAAATGTCACTCCAGTCTTCAAAAAGGGCAAGAAGGAGGACCCGGGTAACTATAGACCGGTCAGCCTCACCTCCATCCCTGGGAAAGGGATGGAACACCTTATCCTTGGTGCCATCTTAAGGCATATCAAGGATAAGAGGGTTATGAGGGGCAGTCAACATGGCTTCACCAAGGGGAAATCATACTTGACCAATCTCTTAGCCTTTTATGAGGAAATAACACTGTGGATGGATGATGGCAGAGCGGTGGATGTGGTCTACCTTGACCTCAGCAAAGCATTTGACACAGTCTCCCACAGCATCCTCACGGCTAAAATGAGGAAGTGTGGACTGGATGATCAGGTAGTGAGGTGGACTGTGAACTGGCTGAAGGAGAGAAGCCAGAGAGTTGTAGTCTATGGGGTGGAGTCTAGTTGGAGGCCTGTAACTAGTGGAGTGCCTCAAGGGTCAGTACTGGGACCAGTATTATTTAATATATTCATCAACGATTTAGATGAGGGAATTGAGTGTACTATCAGCAAGTTTGCTGATGACACTAAGTTGGGAGGAGTGGCTGACACGCCAGAAGGCTGTGCTGCCATCCAGTGAGACCTGGACAGGCTGGAGAGTTGGGCAGGGAGTAA